TTACACCGGGCGTGCCGGCCCATTCGTGCTAAGATGTTAAAGCGGGCACTACCACTGTTAAAAGTTTAGGTTACAAACTGTAACAAACATCCATCCATCTAAACTTTCGCATTTATAATATTAGTTTGATAGAATGATATAATTACATTGAATATTTTAATAAAACTCGCATGAACAAATAATTGATAAAACTATCGCAAAACTGTTTAGTCTCGCTTTGATTCCTATGAGTTTATACGGAGATGCGATTGTCAATTGTTACGTAGCCAATTCAACTGTTTAGTTACACAACTAAAAATCGAGTTGTGCGCACCTCCATATACGCAGGAAACAAAGCGAGACTAAGAAATAATGTTAGTTTGCTACTAAATACAATCATATGTTATTAAGTCGGATTATTAAAATAGTTAATGTCCACTTTCTAATAATAGTAAATTCAATCAAAAAATCTCATTACATTTTAGACAAAAGAGATATTTCACGTCAAAGACAACAAAATACCGCCCTCAAATATATAGTTTGCATCCAAAAATACATTCTCACGTCTGCGGTCGTTCCTCTGAGTAACATCGAAAACAATACTTCTGAAATAGGAATGATCTTTTGACACAATTTCTATTAAACCATTATTTACAGTTAACGAAATAAATTACAAGGGATTTTAATATTTATCACCATACAAATAAAGATCAAACGATACTCTATCAGCGGCAACATAACGTCGGTTAATGTTATATGAAGAAATGTCAGGAACGTTCCAATACGCCCAACGATCGTAAACTTGTGGATTAGGTGTGGAATGCTTTGCGTTTTACTTACTACTATGACCACACGAATAACAAAATAAGGACGAAATAACAACAAAAACTTTTAAGTTCTAATATGTCAACGAAGAAAATAAATGTTTGAATTTGCCTTTCAATTTTATTTATTTTTAAATTTACAAAGATAACCTAGATTATGTCCATAACTCGTAAACCCGTTACTTTTTGGTCACCCTATTTGAATTTCAACCTACTGTCCGAAGTATCATTGGTCATCCTAAATCCTTGCCTAATTCCGGATAACAAATAACGTTTTCTTGTCACCCTAAATCAATATAAATCCGCACATAAATCAGGGTAACGTCTCGCAAACCGTCGACATCACATTTAGCAGTAAATAAAACATCCAAAATTTAAAGAACAACGTTAAGAGATTACAGAATGTAGATTCTATTTTTAAGCGGTTTATACAATTAAGAGCTCTTTTCCACTTAAAGCGGGCGCACACCTTTGACTAAACTGTCGCATAACTGTCGTGCGATTGTCGAATGTTTCCCATTCAATTGTTTAGTTGCACAACTAAAAATCGAATAGTGTGCACACCTCCATATAAGCTTACAGAAATCAAAGTGCGACTAAAGAGTTGTGCGATAGAAAATCAAAGTTGTTCACGTGCTTTTATACAGCCGGTACTTTATACACTCGTAGCCACACCAGTGGAATAAAACGAGCGGATTTATAAAAACAATGTTACGCTAACGCCGTGGTCTTCGGTAATAATAGAACTGCAATAACCTTAAAAATCGTACTAATATTAAAAATGCGAAAGTTTAGATGGATGGATGGATGTTTGTTAGAGTTTGTAACCTAAACGACACAGAGGATAATCTGGAAAAACACGTTAGGCTATTCACTTTTGTTTTTTTTGATTCCACGCAGACGCAGTCGAGGGCGATAGCTAGTTAACTATAATATTCACCTGTAAATAGGAAGATCGTACACGTGACAAAACAGATATTAATTAACAACAAATAGAATACAAATAAAACATTAGAAATCTAGAGATAGCAAAGCCGTGACAACTCAGTGACGGTAGGGAACGCCTTTTGTGTGTATGCGGGTACGACTTCTAGATATAAATAGCTTCACATGTTTAATATGAAATTTAGCAGTGGTAGAACCCGCTTTAACATCTTCGCACGAATGGGCCTGCCTGGTGCAATACCACGACAACACAGAAGAGAGTCGTCAAGTAGGAGCAATTCGGAATTTTGTCTGGTGAGTGTGGTGCCGGGGCCCAACCTTGGTCCCTTTTCCTTCTCACCCTTTTTCTAATAGGAAAGGGGTGGGAAGGGAACGTGGATTTGACGGCGGAGAAGACGTATAGGAAGGGGAAATGTCCAGTTTATGTGCGTCTCCTCCTTCGTCAATTAAGGATAGGCGACGCATTCGCTGTTGCGAGTGTCTATGGGCAACGGTCGCTTTGCCATTTCGGCGGATTTAAGTGGCCGCTTGCTTGTTTGCTACCTTATGATATTAAAAAATACATAACACGAACAAGAAGATTAAAACATGATATAGAAATATGTTGAAGAAGGTATAGTTAAATTCGTTAGATAATCGTAAGTATTGAATATTACTTTTGTAACATAAATATTTTAATTCGTAGTACTTTGTAACATTTTTATTTCAGATTTATTTTATTTTATAAATGAAACTTAAGAAAATTATTACCTGTTTAAATTTCTTTTTATTATAATTATGTTAAATTTATTGCAAGAAACATTCCCTTGTTTCCAGGAAAAGAATTAGAGTATCATAAATTATTGAAACGATTTTAAATCTTATGACTTTATGTTTAGATTCATATTTGTATAACATTATATAATTATAACAACATCAAAGGCAGTAATTTGTCATTAATATTGGAGCGATATTTATTTCGTAAAATCATGTTGAATATGAAAATGCCGAATAAATTTAGAGATCCTTAGCGTGGGTTTTAAATCTCCGTCTTTTCGAACAACTTCTTTTTGTACATAAATTTCAGCAAAACGTATATTTACAGAGGCCTAATATAAGACATCTATAACTAATTTACTAACAATTATGTACATGTTACATGTAAAATACGCATCGTAGTATAATAGTCGTAAAGTTGCGAACAAACACCTACCAAAATTCTCTAGATTATGCGGAGGAGTAGACATATTCTCATCCTGTACGTCCCCCTCTCGTCCCCTTATGTTAAAGATATGCAAACGCATCTGCAAAAGCAGATGTCAATGTGCAATCACGTTGGTTTTTGGTGAATGTGACCGCGTGCTCGTTTGTTACCTACTATAAAAAAATCTAAGTATTTTTAGTTAAATAAAAATGTAACAAACTAAGGTATACATTTATAATAAGCCATAATACATTTACAAAAATCCTTCTATAGTTTCGAAGAATTTTTGCTTCCATGATTGTTTTATGTACTCAATTTTTATTCAGTCATTTGTAATATATGTAAAGTTTTTTTTAAATTATGACTTGTAATTCGATTACCAATAAAATATTTGTATTTGTAATACAGCGACGTTATTATATAAATAAATTTAAATTCTTGTGAATGTTACAGTTTAATATATTTTATTGTACAGAACCATTCAGTTCCATTGTCCACTAACTTATCACAATTTTATGGTAATTTAAAATAATTTAATAGATACGATATATAATAAAATACGATTGAAAATATACAGATAATAAATGACGAAATATTAATAATAATAAATGAGCCATTCACGTAGGTAACGTACAGATGTAGAAAACTTTCCTCGACACAAAGAAATTCCTACAATAATCTTCAAATGTTTCTTTTGATCTCATTTTAGACAGTTATTGTTTGTTGAGAGTATATTTTATTTTCTAGAAAGTTATAATATTTACGACTATATTTATGAAAGACTAGCTTTCGTCCGCGTCTCTGTCTGCGTGAAATTTAAAAAAAAAACATAAGTAACTAGCCTAGGCGTTTAGGCTACAAACTCTATCCATCCATCCATCCAAACTTTCGCATTTATAACATTAATATAATTAATGTTGCCACATGTTTACCTGGATTTCGTGATGAAAACGACAAATTAATTTTGTAAATTTATTTATTTAATTAATCCTAAATCTATATCCCTATCTTTTCTTCGTTTACTCACATGATATCCTCTCCTTCATAGCAGCTCACTTTTATCTGTAACAATAAATAACTTATATTAACATAAATAAAAGGAATAATTTGTATTTCTTATGTACATCATAAACTGAAAATCTAATAGACCTATTCCATTTTTTTATTTCGAAGTTGCACGCAAAAGCCATATATGGCGTAACATACATAACATAAATACATACTCATTTTTTTTTAATAGAGAAGATAATTTAATTTAGAAATAAACATTTGTGAGTACTATTCTTATTAATAATTATTATTTTGTATTATTTAACAATATATGTTGTTGCAAAACTCAGATTCGATAATAATTCCGCGCGCACCGCATAGCCCAAGACGTCTAGACTTGCGGCGTCGACGCGCCATGGCCCAGTTGGTAATCTATCTCAGTACTTTAACGTTACGTACAACGTACAGTAACATAAATGGGGTAGACAGAGGTAGTCCAATCACATTGTTGGTAGTATAAAAATTCTAAAGTAGTCCAGTCTAATGCGCGGATTATACTTTGTTCGAATAGTTGGCCAGTAGTGCTCAATAACTGGACTCTTAATCAACTGGTACAGTGTGAATGGTAACTGTTGACAGTAAGTCCATACCTCTGTTTGGCTTGAGCAACTGTCCA